CCTCCACCCTCCTCTCTCTCGACTACGGTGTCAGTACACGCTCCACCCTCCTCTCTCTCTCCCCACTCCTTCTCTCTCTCTCTCTCTCTCTCTCTCTCTCTCTCTCTCTCTCTTGCTCACCTCCACCCCTCTCTCTCTATCTCGAACTTGGAACAACCTCCACCCCTCTTTGCCTCTCTTGCTTGAACTTGGATTTGTCAGGTAACATGCTCACTGGTTCGATTATGAGTATAGGTGGCCTCAAAAGAGTTACATACATCGAGCTCTATGATAACCAACTATTAGGGTTTTTGCCTGCAAGTCTTGGAAACTTGAAGCCAGCTTCCAGCCACTCTTGGCCGGAATTCCGACCTGGTAACACCTGATGTTGCTAGAAACTTACTTGAAGGGGAACCTCCCTCCTTATCTTTGTCGTTGGAATAAGCTTGAAACCCTAATAATCGAAGGCAACAAATCTACAGAGGCTGAATCTCACTGGAGATCAGTTCTCAGGTGAGATCCCAGCCAGTGTGGGATCTTGGGTGTCAATGGTGATACTCGATTTGTCCAATAACAGCTTTCGTGGTTTGATTCCTCTAGAAATTAGGTTATCTTCCATTGCTGAACTATCTCAACCTCTCACTAAATTCATTTACTGGTTCTATACCGGAGGACCTGGGTAATCTTCCATTGAGGTTCTTCATTGTCTCTTACAACAATCTCTCTGGAAAAGTTCCTAGAACCTTTGATGACACTGGTTTTCTCCATAGCTTAATGGGTAACTCTCATCCGTGCAGCCTTGATCTAAAGCCATTACCCACCTATAAAAGAGCAGGAAAGATGGTCCATGGGTTTCTCTAGTTTGGATGTTAGAGAGAGAGAGAGAGAGAGAGAGAGAGAGAGAGAGAGAGAGGAGGAGGAGGGAGTAGTAGGTAGGTTAGTTAGTAGTACTTACTTTTACTTTACCTTAATAACGTACGTACGGTTAGTTACGTTAACGTAAAGTACGTACGGTCGGGTC